TGGATAGGGACAATGGCTATGTTGATGAGGCGAAGGTCTTGGACAAGGCGGAAAGATCCGTTGGTTTTTTTAACAGCTAATATGGGGGTATTAAATGGGGAGTGAGTGGGTCTGCTTGAATGATGGGTTGGAGGCCTATGAGGGCTGAAGTGGTTAGGGGGTATTGGGCCTGACAGATATACTGAGAGGGGTCACATAATTTGATAGAGGCAGGGGGACATAGGGCCACGGAGGGGCTTGTAATGTCCCAAACTTTGGGATTTACAGGGTGTATGAGGGCAGAACCGGAGCTTTCATTGGGTAGAGGGGGGTCGTCGGCTATGAGGGCCATCAGAAAGGGAGTACTGGGGGCTGTGGGAGTGGATATAGTTATGGAAACGTGGAGGAGGGAAAGGATGTCTCGTCCTAGTAAAGGGATGGGACACTGGGGCATAACCAGGAAGGAGTGGGAGAAAGGTATGGGATTGTCTTGGATTGTGCATAAAAGGGTGGGTGGGGGGTTTAATGGGAAAATCTGTTTACCTCCTACTCTGACTATAGGAGTAATGGCTGGCGTGGTAGGGCCCCGGTATTCTCACAAGACTGAGAAGGTGGCTCCTGTATCTAGGAGGAAGGAGATGGGGTGACCGTCTACTGTTAAAGTAACCCTGGGCTCCTGTTTGGTGATGGAAATGGTCGGGCGAGAAGCCCCCGGGCCCCATCAATCTTCTTCTGCCAGCCCCACTACGGCGGGCTTAGGATGGGGGTTGTTCGTCCAGCCTCCCCTTCGGGTGGTTGGGCAATCAGACCCCCAGTGGCCCTTTTTGTGGCATCTGGGGCATGGGGTGGTAGGAGATCTGGGGGAGGGGCACGCCCTTGACCAATGTCCCTCTTTTCTGCACTTGAAACAAGCTCTTGGGGGGGCTTGTTTGTAGAGGGGCGCCCAGGTTGTGGTTTTATCAGCTGGGCCAACATCTGGAAATTGGCCTGATCAGCCTTTTGTTTACGGCATTCTTTCTCCTCCTCCCGCTTATGGAAGACTTTAAAGGCCACTGTTAGGATCTCAGTCTGTGGGGTAGCGGGGCCCTGTTCTAACTTTTTGAGTTTAGCTTTAATGTCGGGGTAGCCTTGAGCTAGGAAGTATGTCATAAGGACATGTCTTCCTTCAGGTGTTTCTGGGTCCAGGCTGGTATACTGTAATAGGGCTTGAGTGAGTCTGTCTAAGAACTCGGAGGGGATTTCATCTCTCTTTTGAATTATGTCTTGGAGCTTTTGAAAATTGACTACTTTACAAGCTGCCCTTTTTCAGACCTGCTATTAAGCAGGAGGCAAAAATATCTCGAGAGCGGAGACTCATGGCGGTGTTATAATTTCAGTGTGGGTCTTGTTCGGGGACAGCAGTGGGGCCAGGGGGATAGGTGGGGTCAGTCCTGTGGGTTTCAGTAGCCTGCATTTGGGCGAAGTCCTAAACTCGTCTACGCTCTTCAGGGAGGAGAGTATTGGCCAGGAGCATGAAAATGTCATGATGTGTGAGGCTGTAAGACTGGAGGGTCTATTGAAACTCCCTGATGTATGTCATGGGATCAGTGGAAAAGGAACTTAGGCGTTTCTCTAGTTAGGCTAAATCTCTTAAGGAGAAAGGGACGTGAACGCGCACGATGCCTTCGGATCCTGCTACCTCCCGGAGGGGGGCGATAATTTTGGGAGGCTCTCGGGACTGAGTCTGAGGGGGACTGAAGGGTTCTGGCTCAGTCTGTGGGGGAGTGACGCGGTCTAGCCGTGCCTAGTCGAGCAGGTCCTGAAGTGCAGAAGGGGGGCAAAGAAAATAAAGAAAGATAGAATCGGACCCACATGTCGCCAGCTAGCAGCCCAGCTGCTTGCCTCTGCTGCTTTAGTTGGGCTTGAACTCATGACTCTGAGGTTAAGAGTCCCATGCTCTACTGAGCTACAGCAGGGCTCCAGTTAATTGCTTATGGAATGCGTTGTTTTCTATTCCTGCCACATCGGCAAGTGGGGGAAGGGCATAGCTAGAAGCAGGGGCGGTGTTTCTACACATCTTCAAGGTCTCCCTATTTTCAGAGTGAGGAGTCTTGGCAAGATATGTTTTTGTGGACAGATAACTTCTAAGGACTGCACCGGTTGTTCTCTAGCTTGTGCTTTCCCATGCTGCGTTCAGACATGGGGGAAGGTGCTTTCCCATTCTCTCTACAAACATGTGAGAAGACAAAGGCGGTCCCTAACAGGGGAGAAACAGGTGATGAGGGCAAAGACGGAGGAGGCCCCTGGGACCTAGTTAAAGGGGGGCTGAAAGGCTCAGGCTTAATCTGCAGGGAATGAAGGTGGAGGAGGTGAGATGGGGGAGGAGATGGTTGGGGAGGAAGGGAGAAGGGCTGTTGTAGGAGAAGAAGGGGAAGGGAGTGAACGGGAGGCTTCTGCGGGGGCGGCGGCTTGCAGGCTAGGAGAACTTGGGAGGGGGCGGGGAGAGGAGGAGGCAGAAAGCTTCCATATAGGGAATCTCCTTCCATTTTTTCAGGCGCTGGCAGTAGTTAAAAAGATCGCGAGTGATGTTAGGATCAAGAGTTCCCCCTGCGGGCCATTGGTTGTTATTGTCTAGGGGGTATGTCGGCCAATCTTGGGAGCAATATTTACGGAGAAGTTTTGGTTTTATATCAGGCATCAGGGAGAGGGTAGCCAGATGCTTAAGCAGGCATTCAAGAGGTGAACTTTCAGGGAGGGATGAGGAGGCTCCCATGGCTAAAGGACAGAGAAGGAGACAAACAGGGGAAGACGAACGGAGATCCTCGGACTGGAAGCAGACCACAAGGAGACAAAGGGCGTCCCCGATGATCCTTGGTGGTCTGCGGAAACTCGTATACGAGTCGGAATTTCTTGGGAAGTGTGGGTCGTCACCCAGACTTCCCTAAGAAGGCAGAGTGCCGGAGTCACGAGGTACCTAGCGCTAGGCGTTTTCGGCGGACGGAGCAGAAGGAGGAGGGGGGGAAAAGGGAGCGTTCTCATCCACAAAGGAGTCACCTCGTTTATGGCTGTTGGAGGGGGGTGCCTGAGAGTCAGCCGCAGCCGTGAAGGCCTGAGGCGGGGATTTATGACTGTCGGAGGAGGGGCCTGAGCGTCCGCCGCAGCCGTAAAGGCTTGAGGCGGGGATTTATGGCTGTTTGGGGAGGGGCCTGAGGGTCCGCCGCAGCCGTGAAGGCCTGAGGCGGGGAGCGTTCCCTCCTCATCCCCGAGCGTCAGGGCCTTGCCGGACGATCACGGTCAATGGCACTGCGATAGCTCGGGGAAGAGTGGCCCACTCCGGGGGGAAAACTTACCTAAAGGCCAGAGAGGAGTGGTGAGTGTGATGAGCCAGCGCCGGAAAAAGAGGACGAGGGCAAGCTGCTGCTGCTGGGGAAAGACGGGGCCCAGTTGGGGTGTCCCGTCTCCCGGGTTTCGGCACCAATGAAAGGAAAGGAGCGACACATAGCAGCAATTCACCGGAGAGTTCCGCTTTATTAGGGAAAGGTGCTGGGTTATATAGGAGGGGGCATGAATTGATTGAGGTGTCACTTCTACAGGGCTGGTGGCTGTTGGCTAGGTGCTGGGATTGGGAGGGGGGCGAGAGGTGATTGGGCTTCAGGTGGCGCCGGCGGGAACTGAGGACCCCGAAGAGAAGCCGGAAGTTTGCCATCTTACTGGTGGGGACCCTTCACCCTCATCCACTAAAATTTCCTATCATAGTCCTTTTTTTTTCAAACTGAGTAATCAGCACAATTATTTGACCATTTGCTTAACAGTAAGACTTGGAGACATTTATTCTAATCTTCTCATTTCCTTGCCCTGAGTATCTAATGCAAGAGGAAGACTTTATCTCCACAGAATTCCTTGCATTTGTTCACCTGTTTTTGCAATCCATACATTAATGCATGCTACCATCACCACCTAAAATGATGTCTCTATTTCCAATTTTTCCACTTAAGAATCCACTCCCACAACTAGAGCAATTTTATCAAAATGTTGATCAGGTTATTACACACACTTGAATGAAACTTTTCAATGCATCTCATTGCGTGAAAATATACAATCTTGTCTTACCTTGGCCTACAAGACTCTGGTAAAGGTCTTTGAATGTTATAGGAAAGATGTTTGTTATAGGATTTCAAGTTGGGGGAGAAACTCTTCAGTCTGCTTTGTGAGAACTGACAATTTGGAAGCAGTAGAGACGATAGAAAAAAGATTAAGCTGTTGAAGGAAGAGAGATATATATATATATATAGTCTACTGATGTAACCCAGAAGGGAAGTTATAAAAGTTGAAAATAAGGTGGTAAGGATTGGGAAGGGGAACTATACTGAGGGATATTTATGAGGCAGAAAAAAAGAAGCCATGCTGACCTGGCATGAGGGTGGAAGAGAGACAATCAAGGTGCAGGCTCTTCCAGGCCTTTTGGCTCTGGTGCCTGTATGTAGAATCATTCACTTGGATAGAAATTTAGGATGAGAAGATAGTTGTAAAAGAATTGGTAAGTTCCTTCTGACAAGTTTGAAAGTCTAGGGAAAATCAAAATGGGTCACATTCATTGGGCTGTTGGTTATAGATTTTTTAGACCTGAGGTGTAAAGATTTGGGAATCAAAGAGAGTTTAAAGGGCAAAGGATAGCATCCTTGATTGCACACTGTCTCAGTGTATAGTGGAGGAAGAGGGTTCAATAGATGAGGTAGAGGAGAAGTGGATAGAGATGTCAGAAATCTAAGGAGTGAGTGGGAGATAATGACAAATATAGCCAAAGAAATCAACTAGAAACAAAAAATTGTTCTTTGCTTTAGAAGCCAAAAGTCATTTGTGATATTTTGAGAACAGCTGGGATGAAGCTGTAGGGACAGAAAGTGGATTGCAGTGTTTTGAGGAAAGAATGAAGTTTAGTTGTATTTTCAAGGAGTGCTAGAGTTTTGGCTAGTCAGAGCCATACAACCAAGGGAAGGTTTTGTTGTGGAGTTTTTTATTTTTGTTTTGTTTGCAATTGGAAGGGAAGGAGCCAGTAATTATGGAGATGCCTATCAAATAACTAACAACAGGAGAAGAGGAAGAGAGGAGAAGGGATGGCGGGGTGAATCCCAGGGCACAGGGAAGGAGGAGACTTTGTCAGGTAAGGCAACACACTTCTCCAAATTTGTGCTTGTCTCCCTGCCAGTCAATAGCTTGGGAATGAGGCATAGATTTTGTTGCCTGTTGAACAGAGTTTTATGTTTTCTATGAGTTTAAAAGGGAATGATGTTTTTGTGTGTGTTTCATCTGCAAAATGTCTAAATTAATTTTGTGTTTGCCTTTTGTATGGCTATGGTAATTTCTTTCCTCATTGCTGGGCAGTCTTGGATAGATAAAAACTGACTACACCCTACAGTGGCATTATATTCTCCCTATACAAACAGAAGTCTATATGACTATTGTAAGTTAAACTATTAAAGTTTCAAAATTCATTGCCACTTCTGTGCTGTCCATTGCTCAGGTCCTAATCACTCCAGCTGCAGCATGTTTTGCTTTGTTTTATTTTATGTTTTTAGATCTTTGATATCAATTCCTTTCTCTACCATTCAGTTACTTTTTGACAACTCAGCTTGTTATAGGAGCAATTGAAAAACTCACCTAATTAAAATTCACAGATCATAAAGTTTAATTTAGTGGTGATGCTAGTTTTCCTCTAAGCTATTGAATGTCAGTGATTACTTTTTCAGTGGGAGTAAAGACAAAACCTAAAAAGAACTTCTCATCTCTTTCATCGTTAACATAAATTATCACCAACCAAAATACAAAATTGAAAGTCCTAGAAAAAATCCTCAGTACGGATCAAAACTGCATGGCAGTAGACAGCAAAGATTCTGTTCTCAATAAGTTTCAGATAATTAGAAAAGAAAGTGTTAAATATAAATTCTAAAGAACTAAGTGACTGAGGTACGATCATCTTAGAAATAGTTCACTGCTTAGAGGTTTCACTAGTTGACATAAATTCTAATTCATTAGTTCACTATAGTCTGAAGTATTAAGTGCACTCTGCTTTGGGGAAAGGAAATGGGTGAGAGGAAAAAAATGTTTAGAGAATAGACACCTCAGAATTGTGAATTTTTGCCCTTTCTGCTTTGTGAGTGTCATCCAACCATGGTAGGGATATTTGGCCATGGAAGCAGAGTATGTATCTGTCCTTATAATTACTTCTAAAACAAACATGGATTCATTGAAATGAGTACTTTTTAAAGAGATGGTGGTGCAGTAGTATTTTGCTGGAGATAGATTTATTTATGAGGTAACCCTCTCCCACTGTTTTTGGCAGGCTTAGCCCACTGCTGTATTGTGGGAAGCTGTGTGAATCTTCAAGACTTTTCTCCCCTTTTTCAGAGACCTTCATTGCAACTACATGGCACATAAGTTTATTTTGGTTTATTTGTATATTTGCATAATTAAATTTATTTATCTTTAAAATAGCAATAATAACACCACATTCCTCACAGGGCATTTTAAAAATAAAATGAGACTGATCTATCACAGCAATTAGATGTATCCAGCACAGCTTAAATATCCATAAGTATTAGTAATTATTATTAATTATTCACTTATACAATATATATTTACTAACTACAGGTTATATTCAGGGTTCTGTGCTGACATTGGCATTTATTTATTTCTTCACTCAATACATATTTAGTGAGCACACACAAGGAATTGGGTATTGTTCTAGATGTTGGGAACATAGCAGTGAATAAAACAAAATTCAGGCCTTCATGAATCTTATGGTGTAAGGGAATAGGAGACAACAAACAAATATAGAATGTAATATCAGGAAATAAGGCTCAGAAAGATAAATTGTATAAGATACAATGATAAGTAATATAGACTTTATACTCACTAGTTAAATTCTGGGCAAAATAAAGATAACCATGGAAGTTTAAAATTAAACAATGGAAAAGTTCATGTAAGTTTAAAATTAAACAATGGAAAAGTTCTGAATGGTGACAAGTTCCAGGGAGTGGCTCACTGGGGTTCAGAGGCCAAGAATTTGTGAACTAGGGAGTTGAATGGCTCATCCATATATATCCTGATTTGGTGTTAACCTGGGAAAGCCTAGACTAGAACCTCCTTAAGTCAGACAATACAGATGTTATAAAATACAAATGAGATGTTGGTCCAGATTAGAAATTCATTGTAATGGAAAAACATCTGGCTCATAATTAGGGAAGTCCCATCCTGGAATTTTAAGTTTTTGTTTTTTGATATCCTTTATGTTTTTTTTTAGGTAAAATGACTTGGTGTTTAATAGGCATCTTGAAGACTTGGTTGCATAACAAGTCTGTAAGAACTCTGTATATTTGGCAGATATATAGATATATAGTTCCTTCAGGAAAATGCATTTGGTTCAAGTTTATATAGTAATGAACCCCCAGTTCAGCATTGACCCTCAGAGCATCCTTGGCTAGGCAGGATATCTGAAAGTGTTATTTAGAAAGTTTTAGACCCTCAGTGTTGGCTCACCAGTGGTGTCCTCAAGTAACACCTTAGGCCCATATAAGAAGGGTCCATCCCCTGAATTCTGTACTCTAGCATGTTCTATATATCTCCAGTGAACAAAAATAAATTACTTAAAGAACAAAAGAGACCATTTCTTCTGCTCTTGGTGGTGTGACCTGTTTCCCTGTGTAGCATCAAGACTCCAGCTCTCCATTTGCATCATCTTAGAGTAGATTTCTCAAAAAGATAAACTTTGCCTTTTAAAAGGGAGATTAGAAAGCTTGTTTTCTCAGTTCATAGCTACTTCTCTATGTCTGAAGTTACCAAAGAAAATAAGAAATGACCTATCATAGAGATTGATTAATGGAAGGGAGGAATCTAGTAAAAAAAAAAAGATGTGAAACTGTAAATAAAAAACACAAATGTAATGAAAAATGTTCTTCTTTTAGGTCTAATAGATGTTAATTATTTACTGTAATTTGTCTTCTTCAGGAGGCCATTTTGAATAGTTTTTACGGTGTCAATTATGTTAGCATAACATTTTGACACCATTCCTTCAGTAGCTTTTTAAAAAAGTAATTATTTTTAAAATGTAGACATGATGAACTCTTTAGAAGACAAAATTTTTTATTATAGTTTTTAAAATTAGAAACTAAAATGTTATTACAGAAGTTTGTCTTATCTGAGGGCTTCAGCCCTGGACAAGTTCACTATAGATTCAGTGAGACTGTGAAATGACAACGGAACATTCTTAGGGTAAAAGGGTTTATACCTGGCTTTATTCTCCTGGAGATAGGTTGAGCACTAGAATCACGTCTGCATCCAGTAGTCTGCAGGTCTGTAATCCACCTCCATCTCTGCCTCTGAATCAGTGGGCAGAGCTCTTCATAGAGTGATTCAATCAATAATAGCTTATTGCCTATGGGTGTGGAAGTATTAGCCTAGCAGTAGGCCAATTATATCATCAAGTAGTTAGGGTCAGATAAGGATCCTGGCCATAGGACCTTCCATTTTCCCCACAAGCCTCTTGCAGGGTAAGTTATCATATTGCATCACCTGGAGAAATTCTGTATGTCTTGTACAGTTGACATTGCTGAATACCTGCTGATGAAAAAATCAGCAAAAGGGAACTGCCCTTTCAAATGCTACAATAATTCTTCATATTATAACTTTAGCCTCACACATGAAGTTATTATGTCTTCTTCAATATCAATATCTCTATAGAACTAGACCTTTTCCTTAAAAAATACCCACAGCTGTAGCTGGGCTTGCCACTTTGCTTATATTCTAGTATCAGCTGTTGAGTATCAGCACAAACCACCGATCTATTCGAAGAATTGAATATATTATTTTGAATCATATGGTTTCTTCTGAAACAACTCTGTTGACATTCGTTTTGATGGTGCAAAAACAATTGGTGAATAAAACTATTGGCATAAATGAGAGCCATGGTTCCAAACAGTATCAGTAGTCATCCTTTTCTTCATCACTCTGCACAGACAGAAAAAAAGGCTCCAGTTTTATTTAATGTTCTTGAAAAAGCAGTACAAATTATTTTTATTAAATCTTAACCTTTGAGTACATGGCTTTTTAATATTCTGTGTGATAAAAATTATAAGCGTGCATAAACCACTGCTGCAAACCGAAGGATGGTGTTTGTCAAGACGAGCAGCACTCAACTCATGCAATTGTTTCAGCTGAAATGCTCGCTTTTTTCATGGGATGCCATTTTTACTTGAAAAAATGACTATAGGCAAAATTATGGTTATTTAGTCTTGGAGGTTTGGTAGGTATTTTAGCAAGTGAACCAAATGATTTTTGAAGCCAAATGTGATTTTTTTTATGATTATATAATGAAATGTATAAACCTTTAGATCTACACAACTCTGAACTGATATTCTCTAAATAATCAGTAAGGATGCAACCAAGTGGCATATGGATAAATGATCCACATGAAGTACAAGAGGGACCAGTGGCTTCTAATGTCACAGAGTATGAAAGTTCATTGACATTGCATCAAAATTTAAGAAGCTACCCTTAACTTTTCATATACTATCAAAGAAGAATTTCCAAAATTATCTGAAAAGATAATTAAATTAACCTTTTCTTCATTACATATATGCATACAGCTGGATTTTCTTTATCTACTTCACAAACAACATATGGCAACAGATTAAATACAGAAACAGATATGACCTGTCTTCCATTAAGTCAGACATAAGTGAGACTTGCTAAAACATAAAATAACTCCATTTTTCTCATTAATGTTTCTGTTTAGAAGAGAATAAGGTCAGTTTTCATAAAAAACTGTTATTCATGCTAACATCTAATGCATTTATTTTCATTTTAAAATGAATTAACAAATAAATATTATTTTTAGAAGGAAAAATGGACATTTTTCATATTTAAGTTCCAGCATTCAGCAATGATACAGAAGCCCCACAATCTTAAACATCCACCCTTATGATTAAATCAAACTGGATAGACCTTGGGGGAATCCTTCCTCATATCTCTTGACTTACCTTTTTGAACCAAAAGACAATTCCTCAAAATACCTTGGAAACTGCCAGTATTGGTGATGGGCATATCTTTGAAGTAGAGGGAGGATTTCAGCAACAAGAATGT